TATAAAATTTTTATTCTGTACTATTTTTTAATACCTAAATTTAAAAAAATTATTGGATTGCTGAAATTTTTGTATGTAGATATAATCTAATACTTTAGAAGTATAACCATTTATTATTTTATTAAAGTTAAGACAGGGGCCAGATGTTTCAACCCAAATATCTTCTACGAAAATGTCACAAGGAGTACATTCTAGAAGAGAAATTTCTGGAAATCCCAATTCAATTGAGCCATTTATGGATAAGACAGCAATGAAAACGTCAGACGATAATTGTATGACAACAATTCTAGCTTCTAACTATGGCCTTGCTTGTAGGCAGAGAAAAAGTGATGAGGGTTTGAAAGCATACCCGATGCATCAAATTAAGTATGATGCAGAGCTTTTAGAAAAGCTTAAGCAGCAGTCTATATTCCACTATTTTGACCAAAGTGAGCGAGAAACAGACCCAACTTGGCTCGTTAATGATGGAATACTTTTAGAAGATTTGAAGCAAGTTGAATCGGTAAAAGTTTGTCGGAGGACATCTCTACCCACACAAACGATTCTCAAAGGCCAAGAGCATCAATCATTGAGTATGATGGATAAAATATTGCGTAGGACAGCTTCTACTTCACACTTAGCTAAAATGAGATGGAAAAATGCTGTACACCATCCTTGGAATCTCGATATAGACAAGGCCAATGATAGCAAAGAATTTAAAAAGGAGCAAAGTGAAATGCTGCTTGAAAGCACAGAGGAGTATCCCAGTGAAGAAATTAACGAGTATGATAGGCAAATAAAGAACGTGGAACAGAAAATTTCATCTAAAGTCAGCTCAGAGCTTAATCCTTCAATTGATTTTATTGATGGAGATAAAACATTTTTAACAAATGATACTGATATTGATAGAACCATTACAAAGAAAATAGAAAACTCAACTCCGCAAACACTTTCGAATTCAAGAATCTACCTAAGACCTATGGACGATAGGTTTGAAAATATTAATATAGAAACTGGAAACAAACTTTATTCTTGCACAGATCATAAAGATAACAGTACCAGACGCTCTCTGATTGAATCTAATCCTAATTTTTTTGTCTTGGAAACGCCTAACATGGAGTTAATTAAGACGAAAATAGCACAGAGTCAACCACAAAAGCAGATGCGACAAAAACAGCATGGTCCTCTTCTGACACTCGATTCTGGCTACTATTCCCAAGAACCAAGCGAGTCATTTTCTGCCTCTTCTTTTCAAAAGTCTTTGTCATTACAGTTTTCGAGAGACCTTGGCTGCCCGTCACTACTGTGTCTGATGCATGAATCGGAAACAGAATCATCGTTATCTGATAGCATTCCAAACCAAATCACAAAAGAGGCCTCTGGTTCTAAAGATGTTGCGGAAGATATGCCGCGGCTAGTGGGACGTAAAACTATATGTAATCAAAATATTTTAGAGGAGAAAAATTATTCTTATCACCAGGAGGAAGTGACATCTTTTAAAAAACAAAATTCCTCTTTATCGGCCGAACAACCGCGATTCTGTCGACCACCTTCCATTCGGCGCAAGGAAGCCATAATTTCTCTGTCGATCCAAAGTGAGACTTATCTGCAAGGTTCGGATAGCATGAACACTCAAGGGTCGAGCACAAAGACTACAGCCTTGAGCCTCGAACCTATCATTACGGGAAAAGAAACACTTGCCCCAACCAATTCAATTAATCCGTCAAAAAGTCTAACAGGCCTCAAGCCTATGGCCAGATTCGTGACAAGTTTAACACCGATTCCCTGCTCACCCACACAACGTAGAAGAGAGATTGAACAAGAAGTTGCGGAAAGTCTGCAGCTAAAGTCTCTAGAAAATGAAATTCATCCTTCAAAAAGGATAAGTGCCATGGAGGACAAAAATGAAAAGTTACTTTACAGAAAGAGACAAAAAGAGTTTGAGAACAAAATGGCGTTGCCGGAAGCCTCAGAAGTTGCATATTCCTCTAGAAGAAATGAATGTCTAACACGGTTAGAAATCCACTTATCTTATTTTATATAACAAATTTTTGAAAAATTATTTTAACTTACCAGACAACTAGCAAAAACCTTTATTTACTCAGCTTATCAGCACAGTCAAATAATGTCAAGATAGTAAACATCGATGTTCACACATTTTATTCTAGATATAACAAGGTTTATATATTGTATCACTTACCGTTTATTATAGTAAAGGGGCTGAAATACTAAAAACAGAACAAACTCACCTATTCTAAGGTTTAAGTGACATTTAAATCAAGGCCTTCAATAAAATGTCAACAAATAAGTCCGAAAAGCCAGCTG